ATATCAGGATGTCCAAAGGATCTGAGGAGGAAAAGCCGGCAGCCGACTATCCGGGAGACAGCTCAGGTTCGACGCTTTTACCATCCTGAACTTTTGACTTTTTCCTTAAACACAAATAAACGGGAACGTTGCGTCCTCCGGAGCAGCCGTGCAGCACCAGGAGGAATGAAAGATCAGCAATGATTGTAGTGAACTTTTGTTTAGGTGGTAGAAAAATCCAGATCATTTTCTGGGATTTCAGCTCAAAATAAAATAATGAAATAAGATGAAGTAGTTCTCTGGCAGGTTATTAAATGGATTTAGCTCCAATAATGTTCCGATCAATTATATCAGTGGGTTTATATTAACTGCTGCTTTGATCCTAATAAACTCCTTGTACATTTATATTTGTTTGTTTGTTTGTTTTCAGACTCCAACAGGAACAGCCCCGATGACCAGGTTGGTGTTTCAGATTTAAATAATTCAGTTTGTTTCTTAGATCTTTAGGAGGAACTTCAGATTAATAAATACAATTTTTTATTATTATTATTCATATTAACACTGTTATTATTATTACTATTGTTATTATTATTCATTATTATTATTACTGTTAATACTATTATTGTTATTACTGTTATTACTATTATTGTTATTATTGTTATTTTACTATTGTTATTATTATTATTAATTATTATTATTACTGTTATTACTATTAATGTTATTACTGTTATTACAATATTGTTATTACTGTTATTACTATTATTGTTGTTGTTATTATTATTATTATGATATTACTATTGTTATTACTACTATTATTATGTTGTTGTTATTATTATTAATGTTATTATTATTGTTATTATTATTTTTACTATTACTGTTATTGTTACTATTATTATTATTACTATTACTGTTATTGTTACTATTACTGTTATTACTATTACTGTTATTGTTATTATTATTGTTATTACTATTATTGTTATTTTTGTTATTACTATTATTGTTATTATTATTAATTATTATTACTGTTATTACTATTACTGTTATTACTATTATTGTTATTATTATTATTATTATTACTGTTATTACTATTATTGTTATTATTATTATTGGTATTACTATTATTGTTATTACTACTATTATTATTGTTGTTATTAATGTTATTATTATTACTATAATTGTTATTGTTATTATTATGATTATTATTTTTATTATTATCATTATTATTATTACTGTTATTACTATTAATGTTGTTATTATTATTTATTTTTATGATGTTTTTTAATGTGTTAGTAATCTGCTCCTGCAGGCTGAAGGAAGATGTTTTATTTATGGTTGGTTTTATTTCTGCAGGTCCCGATGATGAAGAGCCTCCCGCCCTACAGCCTCTCTCCTCCTGCAGCTGGCAGCACAGTGGGTTCACTTCTGTCTTCTGGGCCGGTTCTGGTTTTGTTTACCTGTTCTAGTGAGAAAAAGACGGTTTTTGTCAACCTTCTCGTACATTTTATCATTCATTCATCTCTTAAAAAAACTAAACAGCTTTTATTTGGTGAATGAAATTCCCAGGTTTTTAAATATTCCCGCCTGAAGGGTCCGATGTTTCCTTCAATAGCTTTGGGAATCACACAGATTGGGTTTTAGATTCTGAAAAGCTCGTTTAGAAGACACGACCTCGTCTGATGAACACTGGGTGCCGCCATGATGGATTGAAATGATAAAGATGTTAGCAGCAAACAGCAGCAGAGGTCAGAGGTCAGCAGCTTCTAATAACAAGAAGAACCTCAGCCTTTGGATCCTTTTCCTTCCCAACCGGATAATCCTGTCAGAACGCTTAATGTCTGCCAAACGACTTTCATAATAAAACAATATAAAACAAATATTTCATACATCAAAGGTGGCCACAGCCTCCTCAACCTTTTCTGTAAAACGACTTTTCCGATTCCAGTGCCTGAAACCAGGCGGGATCGTGTTGCAACATTCCCACCTTCAGGGGGAAGTTAAAGAACCTCCAGCAGAACATCAAATGTGACTTTTCTGAAGAGGAATTTTTTTTTCCTTTTAGGGTAAAAATGAGGAGAGTTTAGAGATCACACACAGCACCGCTGCTCCTCCTGCGCCCTCCCAACAGCAGCAGCAGACGCAGCATCACCACACCCAGCTGATGCTCGCTGGCAGCCAGCTAGCAGGGGTGAGAACACACACACACATATATACACAAATACACACACACACAAACACAAGCACACACAAATACACACGTACACACACACACACATACACACATATAGACACATACACACACACACACACTCACACTCACATATAGACACATACACACACACAAATACACACAAATGAACACACATACACAAATGAACACACACACATACACACACAAATGAACACACACACATACACACACAAATGAACACACATACACAAATGAACACACACACACACACAACACAAATGAACACACACACACACACAACACAAATGAACACACACACACACACACAACACA